AAAATAAATACTACCTAAAAATTCAAACTTACCAGGAACCCTTTTTAATTTTTCTTTTTAAGCCAGTTTCCTTGTAACTATTCCCATTCTCTAGCCATAATCCTTACTCTATCCCAGGCTGAACTCAAACTTTTCTGACATATCCTCCATTTATAAAATAAGGCAGTGAAAACTGGGTTATTTAAAAATGTTTTATAGCACTAATCCAATGGCTTTGATGTCCTTGACGCAGTATTGAAAAAAATCAAATTGGGGCCAGGCACAGTGGATCACACCTGTATTCCCAGCACTCTGGGAGGCAGTGGGTGGATTACTTGAGGTCAGCAGTTTGAGACCAGCCTGGCCAATAAGATGAAACTCCATCTCTACTAAAAATACAAAAATTAAATGGGCGTGATGGCACACATCTGTAGTCCCAGCTACTTGGGAGGATAAGGCAGGAGAATTGCTTGAGCCCAGAAGGCGTAGGTTGCAGTGAGCCGAGATTGTGTCACTGCACTCCAGCCTGGGCAACAGGGCAAGACTCTATCTCAAAAAAAGAAAAAGAAAAAAGAAAAGAAAAAAATCAAGTCAGCTCCTTATTTATAAAAATCAAACAAAACCCCACAACTGAACCTCCAATTCCTAGGCTCAAGCAATCTTCCCTGCTCATCTTTTCTAGTAGCTAGAATTACAGTTGTGTATCACTATGCAGACATGGCGATAATTTTGAAATTTTTTGTAGAGATGGGGTCTTGCTATGTTGCCCAGGATAGTATCAAATTCCTGGCCTCAAATGATTCTCCTGCCTCAACCTACAAAGCACTGGGATTACAGATGTGAGCCACTGTGCCCGGCTACAACTAGCCTTTTTTTTTTTTTGAGTTGGGGTCTGGCTGTCGCATAGGCTACACTTTAATGGCATGATTATGGCTCCCTGCAGCCTCAGCCTTCTTGGATCAAGCAATCCCTGACCTCAGCCTGCCAAGTAGCTGGGACTACAGGTGCATGCCAGCTACCATTCCTTTTTTTTGAGATGAAGTTTCCCTCTTGTTGCCCAGGCTGGAGTGCAGTGGCACCATCATGGCTCACTGCAACCTCCACCTCCTGGGTTCAAGTGATTCTACTGCTTAGCCTTTCGAGTAGCCTGGATTATAGGTGTGCACCACCACGTCCAGCTGTGTATTTTCAGCAGAGACAAAGTTTCACCATGTTGGCCAGGCTGGTCTCGAACTCCTGACCTCAGGTGATCCACCCACCTCAGCCTCCCAACGTGCTGGGATTAGAGGCGTGAGCCATCACACCTGGCCAAAAAAGTTTTTTTTAGGTATGGAGTTTTGCTATGTTGCCAAGCTGGTCTCAAACTCCTAGGCTCAAGTGATCTTCTTGCTCTGGTCTCCCAAAGCGCTGGGATTATGAGCATGAACCACTGTACCCA